AACCTTGGAGGTTTAAAGTGAAAGGTGGAAACCGACTCGGCCGGATAAAAGTAGTACTGGATTTAACAGGGCTATAGTGAGTCAGAAATGTTTTTTTTTAGCTCAACAGTTTGACAATAACAACGGCTGGTACAAATAGATCTTTGCTTTTAAAAGGTCTACGCCTAAGTGGGCACATTCGTATCATTTATTTATTAATTTTAATTATACAATTATAGACCGTGGTACAGACACTTTTTTATCGAATTATCAACATCCGCCTGAAACTTCGTAAATAGTTTCATCTCATCGTAACCTGCAAATATTTGATTTACGAAAACTCTCGGAATCGGAAGTTTTCAATCTGGGTATCGTCAAGCTTTGTCTATTTAATTAGTTACTATAAACTCGTAAATACCCATTTGCTATCTACTTAGATCGTAAGATAATTTGATCACAAAATCGATAAAAAAAAGTGGTCTTTAAAAATATTCAGCCGTTTGGAGTTACCTACATCTCCAAATTTTAAAAATAACGAGGTTATATAGTAGAAACGGCCCAATATTTTTATTTAATTTAATAGTTTGATTAAAAAAGGGGTCTATTAGTGAATAATAATTACCAAATTAAAAAATAAAAGCATTTTTTAAATAGATTTCTTATGTTTCGACAAAATAATAATACTTTCATGTTAAACATACATATTTTTTTTAACGTGTCAAATATATATCTAAAACGTTCATAGTTACTCTTATCCTATATTGGCAAGTTTGGTAATGAAGAATCCAGTATAACAGGTTATGTTGAACGGCAGTGTTTTTGCCCGACATTTTCAACCCAAATATAATATTTAAAAAATTGAGTAATAAATGAATTGAAGAACCAATTCTGTTGGAACGGTTCAAAAATAATGATAACAATAATTTTTACCAATACATAAAAATAAAATATGTTCAACTTGAAAATGGCTTTATTCATCCGATACGAAACATAATATATAGGTATATTTCCTAAACTTTACTTTATATTTTGATATATTTTATTTTATTTATTTTATATACTTTTTGATTATTATTTTGCTTCTATTTATTTTATATTTTTTTTACATACAGTGTGAATGTTATCCTACCTCACTATAACTATTATCCATGTGACAAATTGTTGTAATACTCAATAAAACAAAAACAAAAATTGATATAAAGAAAGAAGCTACAGAAACGATTAAATCTTCAATTTGAACAAAAACTAGACACCTCAAATGAACAAAATTACAATTTTTCCAATTATAATAAAATTTTAAAAGCTAAGAATGAATAAAAGTATATTTCATGATATTTAAAAAATAGATAATAATTGATAAAAAAAATAGAAAGAAATTTAATTTTTGAGGCTCCTGATAATATCTTTGGGGAACGTTAGTCGTAAGATATTTGTAAGATTTAGGTCGCTGTTGATAATTTTTTTGATCCCTATCATCGACCATAAACAATCTTTTGATTGAGGCCATAAATTCACGGGCGAGCCAATGGCAGTAATTATAATTACGTCACTAGTTCCACACCTCGTTAAAGAAAATCTCGAAACGTTATTCATTAATTTGGTATTCGTTATATTAAGTTTTTAATTCATTAATATTCATTATTAATACAATTTCATCATACAACTAAGAAAAAAGAAGGCGAAGCGAAATAGTAATTTCTGGAGTGTTGGTTTAAACAAAAGGTTATTGATTTATTTTGATAACAGTTACACTAAAAAAAAAAAAACTACTTAATCGTTAGGAATATTAGGTTTTAAATCCTCTTAGTAACATAACAACTGTTGGAGCAAGATGTGGGTGCCTTCATGGGCATGGTGGAAGTCAACGCCGACACAACTGGATAAATTAATTGACTCAATTCTTGCCAACAGCATCTGCATGGAGGCTCCAGTCCCTTTGGCGAAAAATACTTCCAGTATAGCATCACAACTCAAAATTCGACATATAGTATGAGAACGATATTTAAAAAATTTAGTACACCTATAAAAATATATAACAGAATTTTATACTTAATATTTTTGTATATATAATATACCTGAAACCCGTCATGTTTCCCGTTCTCATTGTAATTAAGATTTTATTACATCTTTTTTCTCATATTTTTTTCACCTGATTAAAAAAAAATCATTTTTATTTAAGGTAGAACAGTTAAATTTTCAAAAAAACTTTAGTGCCTACTTTTCAAATTTAAATTAATAAGTGTAATTACAATATTTTATTAATTTAGACTGAACCATATTTATTATTTTTACAGCAAACATTTTATCATCCCTTTGTCATTGGAATCAGTATAAAATTTAAAATACCAAAAAATGTTTCTTTCGGTTAAAACAAAACTATATATGTAACTATTATTTAAAATTACCACAAACCCACTAGTTCGTAACATTTAATTATAATTTATTCTCGAATTGCAGAACTACCCATGAGTATAATTTCTCTAAAAGCCCTTCCATATCATTACATTCCTCTGTTTACATTTACAAGTCGTATTTTTATATTAATACAGTTCCATGAATGAATATCATAAATAATTAAAAAAATATGTGCGAAAACTCTCTAAGATTTAAGAATAAAATATGACAAAGAGATCTCTATCTTAAATGCTACTAATGAGTAGTTTCCTCCTAATATTATTGTAGTTTTGTTAAAATTGTAAATTTCAATTTTAAAAAAAATTTTATAAACAGTACTTATGTCGATTGCATATTTCTTCGAGTTAGGAGATGATTATAGTTTCTATTTCGCAGATATGGTTCAAACGATGAATTTTGATTGGTAAATAACACTCCAATCTTTTAAAATATAGCATTATATTAATTTAAACATAGTATAATAAATTGTCAACATTTTATAACGTTGTACATTCTTTCAATCGTGTCCATTGATTCATAAGAGGAATGTTATATCAATTGTAAAATCCAAAAGCCTATCTTAAGTTGCATAACTATATAAAGACGGAAAATGAAACATAAAATAATTTATTGGCGGGATTGAGGGAATTCTGAAAACTTCAAAATCGATATTATTATTATTCCTTAACCATCTCAAAATGTATAAAACGAAAAAGAAAACAATTTATAGAGGTATCCATCGGATATCTACAACTATCGCTTAGTAATAAAGTTAGATTAAATACGTAAACACATCGAAGTTGTGAAAACAAATTGAAAACCACAAATAAGAAAATAAAAGTTTCATAAATATTAGCTATAATGATAACCGCAACAGTGAAAAGTGAAAGTATTAAATACAAATGATGTTTTAAAATAACTACAAGAAGAATATTGTATTAGCAGGGATAATATTTACTCCCTATTTGCGTCATATTGACGACAGTAAAAACTATGATATATTTGCAGAATGGGAATGAATATTTATTAGTTTAAAGGTTCTATCTGCGCCACAGCGTCTCTTACAATAGCCAAGCGAATAGATGTTCTCTATAAGTTATACGATATACGGATAATTGTCACATTATCGAAAGGCGTGAAATTTTCTTGCCATTTAGTTTGATATTTTAAAGTCGTTCGATTTTTTTTTCCTGTTTTGTGGGCGTTGGTGCCGAGCCTTAAAAATAAAATGCCGTTTTTCCTTATTCTTTTTCAATGCGGGACCCGAACAAAGAAATCTCGACACTTTGTGGTGGGTTGGTTTTAAAATAAGAAGTAGGTCAGAGTTTTCTCTATCGAAAAATTCAAGTATTGATACATCTTCCAATATATTACCAATATGTATTTTGCGATATATTGGAAGAATGTTAAACAATGGAGTGTTTTAAAGTGAAATATAATGTGTCTCTAATGCTCAAGAGTTGAAACTCTGATTTGAGGAACTTCCAGGTGGATTTGAAAACAAAAAAATTAATTTGAAAAGAGTCAAGTATTTATAATATAATGCCGCGATCCATTGAAACTAAATCAATCTGGAAAACTTATACCAACAGGTAATAAAACGACTTATATCTATCTTGTATATATGTGATATGGTAACATATAATAAGTTAACAAAAGAAGCACGTAGGAGTCGAATTAAGATAAAAAAACTATTCTGTACGAACAACTATATGTTGTCTAATCTGGTTGAGGTATTGGAGAAAACAGGTAAATACTTATGACACAGGCAGGAAAAACTAAAAATATCGTTTACGCTGAATTAAATATTTTTAAACATATCATGTTCTTAAAAAGATTTTTAGTATAATGTTATAAAACTGAAAACGCTTTCTGTTGTCATTTTTTTTTTTTTTTTTTTTTGTGATAAAAGAAACAGCTATACATAATTTTAATTCAACGGGTGTAAATGTATATATATATAATATATATTTTTTTTTTAATGAACAAATAAAAAAGGTGAATTTTTTCTGATTTTGGGTCTTCGATTATTCGAGTTCTAATATTTTCTTATTTGCTTTCTTTTAAAAATAACAGCTATAATAATTTCAACTAATCTAATCGGTTAAATAAATCAGAATTATTTATAATTAATTACAACCGCGTTTCTTTCTAGAAAGAGCAAGTTTAATATAACTTAAACTTGAATGGAAATATACATCAAAATCTGCTGGATAAAAATTATAAACTCTTAAAATAAAGAAAATATCAGTCTCCCCGGAGCTTCGGTATTCATGAATAAATTAATAGTTAAGAACATGATAGTACTTTCGATTTTTTCGTATTTAAAACAACATATTCAATAAATGAACCGCTTGCAAGTATACATAGCAAAAATATTGACAAATCCTCTTTATATCGCTGTAATTTAAATGCAGTTTATCGCGCCAAATCATGATTACACGAAAGGATTTGTTCCAATTAACCCCAAGCAGCTATGACTCCGAACGGCAGTACTCCAGATGAGCATTAACATCTAAGAAGCAGAACTAGATAGGATTGAGCAATTACTATCCGACCGGTCGGAGCTGACGAGGTGGTTCACCTGCCCGAAGGTCGACTACCTACCTTACCCTTCTCACTAAGGGATGTCTACCGTCCTTGGCGAAGGGCAGGGACCCTATGTCTCAGGTCACTGTCTGGGCCCATCCTCTATTCCAGGAGTGTACGGAGGGTACTGCAAGTGTAGGAGCCTATCTGGGCGGGGTCGACCAATGGCTGATGTCTCGGGTAGGATCTCGCTAGAACGATGGTGAGAAGAGACTGCGTGGAATACGGTATACCGCATATTAAATCAGTTATCACAATTCAACAAACAATTTTCGAGTTATTTACACAATTGCAAATAAATGAAACTACTATCCCATACAGGGAACTTGAGCCAATTCGAACTGAAATTTTGATGTTTTCATTTACAGCAACAGGCTACCAGGATTCAACATAATTTTTTTTTTTTTTTTTAAGAAATAAGGCATTTTGCCACACTTGAGGGCATTAAGTATTTACTAAGAGCTATGTGAGACTCATTCCTACCCTACATACAATAACAAGAGAAAAACAAATGTAATAAAAACAAACGAAAAGAAAGGATGAATAAAATTGTCAAGATTTACAGTCAAGGGTTTTTATTAGGTTAGCCGAAGTTTAAACAAGAGTTCTTGTTCCGGTTTCCAAAAAACAGCCCAGAGATGACCTACATGTTCGGGTCGAAACGTCGGCTAACCTAATAAAAATCCTTAACTTTAAATACTGACAATTTTATTCATCCTAATAATTGACCAGTCGAATAATTGCCCATTTTTAAAAGAAATGAAACTTGAAAAAATATTAAATAAAATATAAAAACATATTCATACTTATTAAACAAAGCTTTAGATATAAAACAACTTTTTATTTTATATTGCAAATTAGATATCTTTTAAAATAGATTATTTTGGACATTCGTAAAACAAATAAAACAACTAAACTGATTTCGTTGTAAGTTTTCTTTTTCCTTGTCTTATATAGAACTAGGGAAGGTTGAAAGCACTATAAACCCCTATATAACAAATAAGGGTGGATCAAATACCTAGATGTTCTGTCCGATTTTTAAAGAAAATGGCTAAATTAATTTGAACTTTATATCCCAGTTTCTTAGGACCGCAAAAATATTCATAGTAGCATAGTGTAAAAGATAAGTGATATTTTGTGACAAAATGGCAGAGGTACGTTTGAAGTAATTTTATTTTATTTTATTTTTTTTGTTTATCTGAAAGTCAGATTAAAGGGTCTAATAACAATTGTGAAGAGATCCAATAGTATTTCTACAATTAAGACGCTCTGCTCAATTATGAAGTAAATCTCGACCTACCCAGTATGAAAATCGGAAATACAGAAAAGTAAAGATAGTCATATTAATACAAAAGATAAAAGTTCTCTTGATCTTCCTCTAAGTAACTAAGAACAGATACTGGAAAAGCCTCATGTATTGTTATAGGAAAAAAAAAAGAAAAAGAATGAATAAGAGGTAATGGAAAGGTAAAACGCAAGTCAACAGAATAATGAAGAAAAATAACTAAACATTTTTATTAATTCCGTCCTTGCCCTTGTTGCCATCAGAGCATGTTGTTTACAATAATATAAACGATTAAAATAGTAAACAATTCTTCAAGTTATAAACAACAAAATTTGAAACATATGTATTGGTATACTAACGAAGCAACGTAATTACTAAATGTGGTGAGACTGAGAACAAATTTTTAATTTCATTTTGCATTTAAGCAACTAATTGAGCAAGGGAAATACCCAGTTTTAATAATGAAATTATGAATAATTAAAGGACAAGGTTAATTAAATTGCAAGGAATTCTTTTAATTTACAAGTAAAAATTAATATACAATTAAAAATGAAATATTGCAGGAAAAAGTTTTAATATGTTCGGTATTTCCCCCAGCGCGGTGGACTTCATCGTTTAAATTAATTTCTGAAATCCATGTGAGAATCGTCCACTAGGTTCTCAACCAAAATATATAAAGAGTAAGCATAAGAAACTATGACATGGACTAAAAAGTGTCTTGAGCAACAGAAGACTAAAAAAAAAAAAAACAATTATGGTATTGTTGAGAATAGGTAAAACGATCTTATAAGGAAATCGACAAGACTTGGATTACAAAGAAGGAAAATCATCTATAAGATGGAAAAATGGAAGGAGAAGATAAAATAATATACAGACGAATAAAAAGCAAGTACTAAATAAATATTATTTTGGAAATAGCTGTATTAGATATTACTTTCATACAAATAAATATGTTTCATTCATCTAAGTTTGCTAAGGGCACATAAAAATCAAACGTTGGAAAAGTAGACAGGAAGAATATAATTCTTATATTGTATATGTTTGGGTCATTATTACACGATCTGTCTATATCTGTAGCTGAACCTTGAATTGAAGTATTAGATGGCGCATTTCACTAAAATACTAAACTCTTGTCATTTAGAACAGATACTAACCTAAGTCACTTTCAACTTCAAGACGCGACCCAGACCTTACCACATTTTTCTGTTAGTTCCATCCTAACCATTGGGTATAGCCAGTTCTCGAAAACCGAACCGAATGAAAAAACGTCTAATTGATACAGAGAAGCCGACACAGATGCGGAGGTCAGCGACCGAAGAGCACTGCCTATAGGATAATTATATCCAGGCAGCAGCGAAGGAGATGGCGTGATGAGGGTCTAGGTCGCCGCTCGATATTCCTCGGCCGAACCGCGTTAGCAACAAGTCTTCGCTGACCAGCCCCAAGCGGGAGAAAAAGGAGGCGTCGCCTATCCATCAAGCGATGGCAGGCTAGGGGAAGGAAAACATAGGAGTCTGGAGAGTCCTTATGAGGAAGAATGTACCGAATCTTAAGCATGAAGGATAGTCGTATTGTTACACTTTCTTTACTATGTGTGTCCACACTCAGGGCCTGATTTAGAAAATATATGAATGATAAGTAAGATTCGAAATCAAAAAGAATAATTTGGTTTCATAAAAAGTAACCTAGAAACCTATAATTTGGTATCTGCTGAATTCAGTGCAACTGATAAAATTTATATTAAATCCAAACTAAAACCTCTCAAAGGTGAAAAATAATCAGGTGATGCAGTCATAAATCGTTTCATTAAGTTTGCAGACGTTTTGACCCAATCATATGGGTCATCATCAGGGAAATGTTTTCTGGATAGTCTAAAAAAGAACTGCTAGTTCAGTTCTTGTCTAGCCAGTAACCGTCGCCCTGATGATGACCGACACGCTTAGGATGAAAAGTCGGCAAACTTAATGAACTGCATATTTGATTGCATTTCATCCTCTAATCTCCTTAGGACTAAAAATTCTAAGATATGTATAACATTGACCTATGTCATTACAACCCTCGTTGACTACCATGGAAGGTCTAAGAAGCACTACTTGATTATGGATTGTGGATTCCTGATGGCGGTCACACTGTGGTAGAAGTCAGATTAGGAAGCAGATGACCTTGTAAGATTTCTGCTTTCTCTTCATATAATTCTTTCTCCAATAGGAAAAGGAAGAATATACTTCAAGCTTCTCTAAGACGTAGAAAAAAATGTTATGTGTGGGAGAGAGAGGAGTATTTTCCAAATTCACCCATCCATCCAATTTATATAATCCAAACTTGTATAATAAAGAATTAATATATTTTTATTAACATCGACCATAGTTAAAAAGAGAAGTAAAAATTACTATTATATAAAAAAAAATCTTGCAATGTTATAGTTCAGCAAACCAAAAAGAATTATAATAAATCTGTAACGTTCAATGTACTAACGGACTGCCACTTACAATACAAGGATTTTAAAAAGCCGATTGTTCCGGAGAAGCTAAAATCCGTGGATCTTGGCCGATTCGACACTGATGTTCAAACTCAAGTAATGGAAGTTTTGTCAGGCAAAAAAGAGCGCTTATAAAGTTGAAGTAATCGATTCCATGAGAAAATTCATGGATGGATCACTGACAACATGCATTTCAGTGACCACTTGAAGGCGACCTGTACTTGTACCTGGGTTGTGATTACCTTTAAAAAAAATTTGAAGCGTTCAAAGATCCAATGTCCTCAGTAGAATAAACATGTATAATTACAAGATTATTATGCGAATGTGTTTTATTTTTCCTTTCTTTTGAGTTCATTGACCACAAAATTTGATTTTCGTAAGTCATTGTTTTTACGATTCTTCTAAAAACATCTTCTTTTCGTGTGGTTGAATATAAAACAATTAGCTTGAAATTAGGCCGGATGAAGTTATATAATATAATTACTTTAATCGGTTTTTAGTAAATGCGATGGAAATTATGCACATAAAAATGACAAAGATGGCTTATACCATATTTTTTCTTTGTTTTACAGATGCGTAACAAGGTTCATTAGCACATAATTATAAAGCAGGTAGATAATGGATTTCGTCGAAATAATCAAATAATTACAGTTCTTTTTGCGTTACGTTCTCCATAATTAACAAACTTCGTATTAAAAAGAGATTAAAATTCAGTATTGAAAATACATTAACCTTTCAATAATTAACTGAATTTTAAGTAATAAATAGTTAAGAAACAGACAGTTAACATTTAAAAAAAAAAGTATAATCAATTTAAACCTTCAAGAAAAAATTATTTTGCAATTATTGGGCTTTATGTAAATATTAGGACTTATTTTTAAATTAAAAATTATACCTAATAATTTAAAATATTGCAACTTTCCTAGTAAAATTTCAGTACAATCCTTAGGATAAATATTTTAATAAATAAAATAATGATAATTATAGGGATATAAATGAATAATACTATATTTTTCTCCTCAAATTCACCACATTAAAAACATAGTTAAATTAAATATAACGTACAGTAAAATAAAATTATAGTGATAAATTATTTGATAAAAAATATCAGATGCTGGATAAGATGATTTTCAAGCTATCATTACTTAAATTTGGAACTCATTAAGTAAATAATTATTCATGTATTAATTATTACTATAATTATGATTTTAAAATCGTCAAATATTTAACTATATATAAAATAATTAAAAAGATATTATCCTACTAATAAAATAAACGAAAAAAGTCATTGATAAAATTAATCTCAAAGATAACGGTGCCTGTTTACTACACAAATATAAGATCTATACAGTAGTATAATACAATAGTATTCAAACTGTTGTGTACAACTTGAGTATCAGATAGTTTGTTATGCGGCACGGTATGCCGGACGCGCCTGCCTTAGACAAAACATTTTGTAAAAAAAGTACTGTATATCTGCGCTTTGACAAGTGCTTGCAATGCTTAACAAACCGACCTAGACTCAAGAAACAAGAAATATACTATAAAGAAAAGAATATACATATATATAAATAAATAAATATAAAAAAAGAAGAAAATATACATAACTTAATAATGGTAGGCTTGTAATCATTAATTGTGTTCTTTAGTGGTCTTACTCCTTTACAATTGTTCTTCTTCAATAATAATTTTTAAAATGTATAAGAAAAACAATAAATTTGTTTATGTTTAAAAATGATAATTGAAGACTTGTAAACAAAAATCTTATGAATACATCATTAAAAAAAAAATATTATAATCCATTAACAATAAAGTTTGGAGATAAACGTTATCGTGTATACATGAAGTAAACAAGGACTATTATGATGGAAGTGTTGATAATAGAGTGCCGAACGATAAGGGCCTAAAAGATTAGGGCATAATGTCAATGGGAGTATAACATTGAATCCTATTCCACCACCAAGATATTCCACGTGGATTCATGAATAGAAGTATTACAAAACTACTCAACGAGCCTTCGATTTTTATTTATTGAGCAAACAAGGAGATTGTTTACTCAACAAACAAAGAAAACATTTCACATCGAATTAGAACACCCCGAAATTATCACTAACATTTATCATCCACAATTCTTTAAAAACTGGAACGATTCCAGCGACATCTTGAAATTATTATAATATTAAAATCGAATAATAATATTAATAAGAATTAAGATATAAATGGAAAAATTTAAATCATAATGCCACGATTCCTCAGTCAAAGGACAGAAACGAAAAAAAACAAATATATACATTTTTTTTAGAAGCACCTTGCCAAGCCCCAATACATACTGAAGGTTGCATAAAAGCAAAAGGGGAAAAAACCTAAACCTGCACAACCACAACTCATGAAGGGTCTTGGGTTCAGTACTCTGTGAGAAAGTACTGTTACAAGGCCAACGGTTGTGCATGGAGGTGATTGGACCGAGATCATGCTCAACCGCCATGTTTTCCTCCTTAGTTAATTATATAAATAAGAGTACCCACTGTATAGAGGCAGGGTATGCCCCATTTGAGTCACCCATGACTGATGAAAAATTACTAATCATCACAGCCCGCTCACGTGCAGTAAAGGAAAGTTATATTTAACAGCTGATTAGAAGTAATAAGACAAAAAATGGTTATATCGTCAGTTTATTGAAAAACAACATTAAGTGATATTTCATAACCGCAACAAATTTAGAACTTTAATGAATTTTCTGTGATAAATAAAAGGGTTTGTGCGATTTTCATGCACTTACCGGTGTTTTTGTACAGATAAATAAAGTCTAAATTTACAAAACCATACTCGAAAGTTAACCTATATCCAGAATGCACTAAGTGACTTTTTGAAATAAACCGACGATATGCTAGTTTATCGTAATTTAAAAAGTTTTAAGATTGTAATACAATTATTTAACGAGGAAAACACGTACAAGTTACTTAATGATGTAAATAAACCTGTTAGGTGATTGTTTTTATTATACAACGTCCATTGTTTGCACAGTATCGTTTCAAGTATACCAAGTGAGAGATTTCTGTTTTGTCATTATAACCAATTTGAGAGGCCGTCCGGCTTAGAAAGTTGAACCTTGGAAGTCAATAAACAGATACAATCAAAACAAAGGGTACACTCTGCTACAATTTATTATGGATCCCCTAGGACAGAAAGGCTGTGTAATCATCATTCAAATCCCATCCTTACCAGACTGTACTTTTTTCTCCCTAGGACGAGAGCTATAATTTTTTCTCCCATGTCAGGACCAAATTGTCGGGTCGGCATCCTCCTCCCACCACACCCGGAACCCGAGCTCCTCCGCAGTGCCATTAACCCAAACACAGTCCATGTTGGACTCCTGTTTTAATTGTACCTCAGGAGCTGGGATAACTGTCCATCTGGGTATGGTAGTTATTACAGGTAGTTGATGGAGGATTCTGGAATGTTCAAATACAATAAAGTTCGCAAGGATAAAAATGAACTATGAGATGTTCAGACAAAAAGAGTAAATGGTATGTTCCTTTATTTATTTATTGAAATTTACAACTGTATTAAATAAATACAACCAGCAAATATGCACAAATCAGAAATAATGACATAAACAGACTTGTCTAGATACTACCCAAAAGTAGCACTTGCTAAATAGTTCCAAGTAAAAAGATCACGAGGCCATCTTCTTTTCAGACGTATGCATAGGAGGATCATTAGAAACCGAAGAACAAACAAGGGTGGAAACAAATGGATTCGGATGGAATTGGAGTTTATCCAGAAGGGAACATGTTC